ATATGGGTCTTTACAAACAGACAGACTTGAATTTCCATCATCACTCCATTACTCACTAATGGTGGATCTTTAAGCAAAGGTTTCTGTTTCTCTGGGCCTCACTTTTTTCACAGCACAGCTTCTGAAACTTAATAGGTATTTGTCATGATTTGAATGTGTCCTTCAAAAATCTATGTGTTGGGGGAACCAGCAGTTAGCGTAATGGCTATGTCGCTGGATTCCCACGTAGTCGACCGCAGTTTGCGTCCTGGACCCAGTGGCTTAGAACTCACGCCGGGCGCGTGTGCGTGTGTGCCCAAGATCCCGGGAGGAGAATGGAGGAGAAGGGATTGCGGCGTGACCATCCCCCCTGGGGGGTGATTTCTCGCTTTCTGTCTCTATGTCTCTCTCTGTCTGGCAAGCGCACGTGCCCTATAGCAAAAAAAAAAAAAGAAAAAAGAAAAAAATCCATGTGTTGGTATTTGATTGCTATTGTGATGGAATTAAGAGGGTGTAAACTGGGGACCAGTAGATGGCAGAATGTTTATTCACTGGACTCCCATGTAGTAGACTGTGGTTTGCGTCTTGGACCCAGTGGCTTAAAAATCAGGCCAGGCATGTGGGTGTGTATGCCCAATATCCTGAGAGGAGAATGGGAGAGAAGAGATTGTGGTATGGCCATCCCCTGGGGAGGTGATTTCTCACTTTCTGTTTCTCTGTCTCTCTGGCGAGCACATGCACCTTATATAGCAAAAATCTTTCATAAAAAGGAGGGTGTAAACTAAATCCAACTATGGTATTAAGAGGTGAGGCCTCCTGGAAGTGATTAGGAATGATAAAGTAATCAAGGTTGGGGCCCATGCTTAAATGCTGGTGCCTTTATAAGAAGAGGGAGAGAGACTAGAGCTGACATGCTCTCTTCCTCTCTTGCCATGTGATGCCCGGCATCACCTCAGGCCTCTGCAGAGGCCTCCCAGAAACAAGGACCTCACAAAATGCCACCCCTTGACCTTGGGCCTCTCGAATCATCAATAGAATAACTATTTAATAATTTTTATAAAGATATCCAGTTATGACAACAAAAAAATGAACTAAAATGGTGTCGTAGAATGGAAGCTATTATTTTCATTTTTATTAATAGTCAAGTGTACACATTTCATGTTAGGAATTATTAGGGTTCTCTAATACGTAAAGAGCCAAAGTATTCTGTGTAAGAACCATTTACCAATCCGTTCTCTAATACGTAAAGAGCCAAAGTATTCTGCGTAAGAACCATTTACCATTTCACTATTGCCATGATAATGCTTCATAGCAACCCACCCCTCCAACTCAGTGACTTTACACCATTGTTTTCCCCGTTCGAGCGTGTGTGGGTTGACCATCAGTCAGCTGATGGAGGGCTCAGCTGAGAGACTCTGCTCTAGCATGTAGATCTTGTCCTCACCTTGGATTAGATTCAGGTCTGCTCCACATTTTTTATTCTGAATACATAAAAATAGGCTAAAATAGACAGAGCAGGAGTACTCTCATTGTGGGCCACAAAAATCAGCACCAGGGGTAAGTCCAGTTGTGCATACATGCTCGAAACCTCTGTTACTGCTTCTTTGGCCAGAGACAGTCACACAGTGAAACCCCGAATTAAGGAGTGAGAAGGCATACCACTGCGAGGCCAGTAACTCAAGCTCCCACGGATGCTGTGTGTAAGAAAGGTCCAAAACGTCGATGAGCACGTGTGTGAGAGAGGAGACTAGCGAGGTTGGAGGCAGAGGCACAGGAATGTGATCACACCTCTCTTCACGACCCACAGCCTCTTTACGGACGCGATGGCCTCGTTCCACCTTAGTGATCGGCGTGCAGAGGGAACTCTGAGCACTGCAGCCTCTGCCTTCTGCAGCCTCAGAGCGTGGTCTCTTTGCACTAACCATAGTCCACATCATGGGCTCTGTTCTTTATAGACCGTGCAACAATTTCTAATGCCAGCTACCCAGAGTCATGCCAAACTTCCCAGATTGTAGGCACAACGTCAAGACTGCCCTCACTCAGACACCACTCACAAGCGTGCGGGTCTCCATGCCACCCACATTTCCACTTGGCTAAGAGTTTGGGGATTCTCTCAACCAACACCCTCAGGTTCGTTCGACAGTTTGCCACAACTCACAGAATTCAGGAAGGCACCCTACTTATGATCACAGCTTGACTACAGTAAGAGGATACAAACCAGAACCCACCGAAGGGGAGAGACGTACGTAAGGTCTGAGAGGTTCCCGACCGTGACATTTCCTTGTCTTCTCCCCATAGAGTCAGAACACCTTACCCTCCTAGCACATAGCTGTGTGACAATATGCAGAGTACTGCCAACCAGGGAAGTTCAACTGAGCTGTAGTATCTGGAGTCTTTACCAGGGTTTTATTATATAACCATGGTTGGCTGAAACATTGACCACAAGGTGGAACTCAGTCTCCAGTGCCCCTCTCCTCTCTGGAGGTCAGGCTGTTGTCTTGTGTCTCGAAGCCCCAATCTTCTAATCACACAATTGATCTTTACAGCAAGGTCAGCCCCCACCTTGGGCTATCTCATTAATACCAACTCTCTTCAGATCCACTGGCAGTCATCTTACGGTATAAACTATCAAAGTCCACCATAAATTAAAAACACTCCTATTACTTAGGAAATTTCAAAGATTAAGAAGGTATATCCCAGGAACTGGGACAAAGGCCAGTCAGATTCTTGGTAACACAATCTACCTGTGTCAGGACCAGCAGTTAGTGTAATGGCTATGTTGCTGGACTCCCACATAGTCAACCACTGTTTGAGTCCCAGACCTGGTGGCTTAAACTCATGCCGGGCGCGTGTGCGTGCGTGCCCAAGATCCCGAGAGGAGAATGGAGGAGAAGGGATTGCGGCATGGCCATCCCCCCTGGGGGGGTGATTTCTCGCTTTCTGTCTCTATGTCTCTCTCTGTCTTTCTGGTGAGCGCACACAGCCTATAGCAAAAACCTCTCCAAAAAAAAAGTAAAAGAAAGAAAGAAAGAAAAGAAAACACAATCTACCTGTGTCTTCCACTGGACTTCAAACTCCTTAAGGACAAACAAGGTGTCCTTTTTATCTCTGTGTGCTCCACAGCCTCTAGCCCAGTCTGCTGCTGAGGTAACGCGGATTAGACTGATAAAGGTAAAGCCGCAGCGAGCCACAGAGCTTCAGAATAAGTGAGTGGAAGAAACCTTGGAGGCCATGTAGACATTCCAGCACATTCATTTTATACACGAGGAAATGAAAAACCAGAGTTCACACAGTTACTCCAGAAAGCCAAATGCTTACTTTAGAGTCTCATTATCCCAAACTGGACAGTCATTACCACTCGTGTCCTACAAGCATAAATACAAACTTGAGCATCCATACCTTAATTTCTCCCATACATTAAAAAGAAAACAGCGATAAGCTATGAAAAGAAAAGAGATGATAGACAGGAAGATAACAACCAAAATATGACTAGGATATAAATCTTTAAATGTGATATTTGTAATTCCTGACCTTCTCATGCTTCTTTCTTGCTCTGCCCTGGGAAGTACAGTTCATTTCATTTTCATCATCTTGTTAGAATGTGTAGGTCCTAAAAAGGATATATTTATCTTTAAAATTTTTTAAATTTAATTTTACTCATTGTCATTTTTTAAAAAATTTTTTTGAAGTTAACCAGAGTGACAGAGAGAGAGAAGAAAAGTGAGAAAGCAAGCTGCCAGGCTCGGGACTTGAACTGCAGTCTACCATGTGGGAGTCTAGCCATCTTAACCACCATGCCACCTCCTGGATAGATGCATTTATTTATTTATTACTATTTTTTTTTTAAATCATTGTTCTTTTTAGTCTATGCTCATTGCCAACCCCTTTAAATCTACTTTTTTTTTTTTTGGAGAGGTTTTCGCTATAGGGCGCGTGCACTCGCCAAAGACAGAAAGAGACAGAGAGACAGAAAGCAAAAAATCCCCCCCCAGGGGGCTGGCCACACCGCAATCCCTTCTCCTCCATTCTCTTCTTGGGATCTTGGGCATGCATGCACACGCGCCCAGTGTGGGTAAGCCATCGGGTCTGGGGCTCAAACCGTGGTCAACTATGGGAGTTCAGCAACATAGCCATTATGCCAGCTGCTGGTCCCCCTAAATATACTATAACACTCATCTAAAAGTGATTTTTTTATAAGTTCTTTTTCCTAACAAAATGTAATCTATATTAGCAACCTCACACGCTTATTCAGAAAGGGACAGAAGACCTCTTCATCTATCGCAGTGCAGGGCACACTGAAGTGCCCAGAGAGTGTTGGTGGAATGAATAACAGAGTTAATGTTTTCCTTTTAATAACGCAGCATGTGAAGGTTAGCGCAGCTAGATGGCTCCTTATTCTCCTCGTCCTAACTCCACTTTTCCATTACCACTGAGAGATGTTAGTGCGGCTTATGCCACGTGGAAGGCTATCTTCCTCTTTACACAGAATTATTAGTAAGATGTTTGTGGAGAAAATATTTACACCACATGGAATGGTAAATATGTTAATTACAGATCCCCCCCCCCCAGGGGAGGTGGCAAAACTTTATAGAGAGATAAGGAGTGGCATGGAGAAAGTGCCACCACCTCGCCAGAGAATTATCCCACCACAATCTCCTTTGTCTCGCCATCCTTTCAGGATTTGGGGTGTATACTCGCACATGCCTGGCATGTTTCTCAAGCCATTGGGTGCAGGGCTGAACTGTGCAGTTGGCCATGTGGGCTCCAGCTGTCAGATCACCATGCCACGAAGCCAGCCCAATCACAGAACTTTTTAACCCATTACTTTTCACCTCTGAAAGTGAAATCAAAGCATGGCAGGGACGATGTCTGGGAGACTTGGAATAAAGCTAGGCAACCTGCTTCCCTTGGAATCCATATTTGCTGAATCTGAATCCTAGGCAAGACTCAAAAAATATGCGTCTCAACCTTTTATTCGCAATGTGCAAACTGTAACAGGAACAAATGCCTCTATATTTCAGTGAGTTCAACTCAGGCCTACCCCAAGCTGGCTCCGTACCGCCCGGCAGGGCAGCTCCTTTCCCCGCCTCTGCTGCTCTCAGTGTTCTTGAATTCCTGCTTCACCTGCACTGTACAGATCTGCGCATTTCTCTCTGTGAAGCAGCAGCCCTGGTACTGTGAGGTCCACCGCTACACGTAAGTTTAGGTTTTAGTTTTCTTTTCTAAACATTAGAATACGTGTCCAATGATATACTGAGTATCCCAGAACTAACTTGGTTTGCTTGTATATTCTAAAATTTCAATAAAAGTTGTGGCTTCACACTCTACTCCATGTTGCAAAATGCAGATAATAAGACAGAATACAGTTAATGGGTGGAGTACTGGGGTGAGCCACGCGGAGTAGGTGGGAAAAGAGCTGTCACTATTTTTTTTTTTTTTTGAGAGAGATTTTTGCTACAGGGTACATGTGCTCACTTAACAGAGAAAGAAAGCGACCTAGGGAGGATGACCACACCACAGTCCCTTCTCTTCCATTCTCCTCTCAGGGTTTTGGGCATGCACACACACACACCTGGCATGAGTTTTAAGTTCCTGGGTCCAGAATTCGAACCACCCTGGCGGTTTGGATATACTATAGGCCAAGAGTTGGTAAACATTTTCTGTGGAGGGCCAAACAGTAAGTATTTGAGCTGCTGTGGTCTGGGTGGTCTCTGTTACAATCTGCCAGCTCCTGCTGCAGCACAAGAGCAAGTGCAGACAGCATGTAAATATGTGGGTACGGCTTGTTCTAATAGAACCTGACTCGCAGACACAGGGAGTGTGTCCAATTTGGCCGCTAGGCTGTACCTTACTTAAAACATTGGGCGTTTTGTGAATGAATGTTAAAATTAAGATGTTAGATGATGGTGTCAGTGTTCTAATTGAACTGGAACGTGAGACTGAAGACAATCTCATCAGCTTTCTGGGCTTTAATTTATTCCACTATTTAAACTCATGGTGAGATGGGGTAGACTGTAGCATAGAGGCTCAAACTTTACCGTTTTCTGACAAAATCTCCCCAAAGAAAAGACAGGACAAGAGAGCTGCTCTTTTTGACGTAGGGCACGTACAAACTGCCCCTCACTCTACTGGGAACGCGAAGGCTTCGGAGAGCTCCCCGAATCAATACGACACAAATTGAAAACTACCAAATGATGTCTAAGATTGTCATTTAGATCCAGAATGCAGCAGCTGAAGTACTAATTGGAATACAGAATCCCATTTAGTTTCAAATCAGATTTTTCCCAAAATTGGAGTGCACATACAGAGGTCAAATTCTGATTAAACTTAGGAGATAATATGGTACAGTCTAAAAGGAGATAGACAAGAAATAAGGAATTCTAAGTAGTCCTGCCTTACAGACAGGCTGTGCCATATCATCCTCTTGACATTCTTATCTGCAAATGAGTATATCGGACTAGATACTCCTGGGGTTATACTCTATAATTCAAGTCTCTGCGCCCGAGTGCTTTGTGACTAGTGATGGTTTCATTAATTGATGCAGAAAACATTTACTAAACATCTGTGAGATGCAAAGCACATTTTTGGACTTCATGGAGACCCAAATAATAAGAATTAAGTTTCACCTTTGAGTTAACAGCTGGAAAATGGATCTTCTCTATAAGCAGTTTCAGTAGCAATTTGAAAGTTGCAAGCTGAACAAAGAGAGCTGATAAAAAATAATTTTGAAGTTTGATTATACACAAATAAAAAAAGAACATTGTAAATAGATCAGTCAGGACAAGGAAAGCCTATATCTTAAATATTTTTCGGAGTATTATGAAACTCCACTGTGCTTCATGTCAAAGATTTGTTGTAACTTTAAATAAAACAAAAAATTGAAACCACATGAAAAATTCCATATTCAAGTACCTCACATTCTAGAAGTGTAAAATGAAAACACATAAACAAATCATGCAAAACAAATGAGCTGAGTGCAGCACTAGAAGGAAGATTGGCATATTAGCTTTACTTGCTAGCAAAAGTAGACATTCTAGAAGTAGTGATGTTTAGGGACCAGCAGTTGGTGGAATGGTTACATCACTGGACTCGCACATAGTCCACCAAGGTTTGAGTCCAGGACCCAGCAGCTTGAAACTCACGCAGAGCGCATGTGTGTGCATGCCCAAAGTCCTGAGAAGAGAAAGGAAGAGAAGGCATTGCAGCGTGGTCATCCCCCAGGGGTGAGGGTGGGGGAGGTTCCTCACTTTCCGTCTCTCTGGAGAGGGCATGCACCTTATAGCAAAAAATCTCTCCAAAGTAAAAAATGAAGCAGTGATGTTTAAAGGATGAATATTATCTCAGTTAAAGGCAATACCATGTGTAAACCAAGAAGTGTACAAATCTTGATGTTTGGGGAGTAGGGGATAATTCTGTATTTTAGGAGGATTAGGAGAAGAGGAGGAGTGACAAATGGTAAAGCCAAAAAGATAGGCTGAGACCAGGGCATGAAGGCCTTCTGGGTCAGTCTAGGAAGTCTGAACTTAATTTATCAGCAAAATAGAGCCATGACATCTCAAAAGCAGGCAGGTGTCATGATCAGAACTTTTGGAAGATCCTTTGGCTATGCAAAGAGAGCAGATAGGAGTGGGGAATCTCAAACTCAGGATACCAGGTAGGAAGCTAGTTTTCTTTTTCAAGCTAGGTCCTTGAAAAGGTAACAACACACACACACACACACACACACACACACACACACACACAATTGATATGGTACTTTTACTCTGAATTGGAAGGGAAGGAATTCCATAGAAAATTGTCATCCACACCCTCTCAAGACACTTCACTTGTTCTAAATGGTGTGCTAGACAAAGAAAAATCTTGGCTTCTTGTGAATTTTTGTTTGGCTTTGTCATTTTAAGAAATGAACAAAATACAAGTTGTACTGGAGTTATTACTGGAGTAGTTTGAAAACTGAAGTCTCATGGCAATGATTAAATTATTTTCCTTTTTCACCTAATGGAGAAAAATAGAATAAAATTCCCATCGATTCTGGGGATTCTGTTGTAGTGACTGCTATCTGGTCAACCAAAGTCATTTCTCAACAAACGTGAGTTTGGAAAGGACCTGGAATGGAAACGCAACTTTGGTCCCTGGCTCAGTGCTGAGTTTTGAGACGACCACGCTGTGGCCCATCACCACCATCAACTGCATCACAGCGGCATTTATCTTTTCTAAGGGCAAGCCATTTCGAAAGCCCATCTATACAAACCGTAAGTATACCAAGTTTAATTTTTCTTTCTGAAGGTTTTTTATTCCCTTATCCTCCCCAGAGTCATAACTCACTGACGAAGTGATTGGCTGAGGAGGAAACAACTGCATTACTCTAAGATGGTTACTGAGCACAGTGGCCATAGAGGGTAGTCCATGGGCAGAAACCTGCTCCTTTGCAGCCATGCACAGACGTTATTCAGTGGTCACTGGGATCCTATTGTGAGTCATTAAGAATCATTGTAAATACTTGTCAAGCTTTTAAATTAATTGATTAACTTTTAATTATGATTTCTAATTTACAGATAATTTTTTTTGAGATTTTTGCCATAGGGCACATGCATTCACCAGAGAGACAGAGAGACAGAACGCGAGAAATCCCCCCCCCCGGGAGAATGGCCATGCCCCAATCCCCTCTCCACTCTCCTCTCAGGACTCTGGGCACACATGCACACATGCCCGGTGTGAGTCTCAAGCCTCCAGATCCAGGACCTAAACCACAGTCAGCCTTGTGGGAATCCAGTGAAGAAACCATTATGCCATCTGCTGGCCCCTCTAATTTACATATAATTGATGTATATCTTGTATGCTACAGTATGGTTTTTTGTTTGTTTGTTACAGTTTTTTGCTATAGGGCACTTAATGCTCATGAGAGAGAGAGAGAGAGAGAGAGAGAGAGAGAGAGAGAGAAATCACTTCCTAGGGGAGATTGCCAAACCACAGTTCCTTCTCCATTCTCCTCTCACGATCTTGGGCATGCATGTACTCATGCTCAGTGTGATTTTCAAGTCACTGGGTGTGGGACTTAAACAGCAGAGTTGGCCATGTGGGATCCAATGCCTTAACCTCCACACCACCTGCTGCCCTAGTGTGGCTTTTTAAGGCATGCATACCAGCACTCCCACTATTGGGTTATACACAAAAGACAGACAATCACTGGTGGAGAGATGTTTGCACATCCACGTCTATTGCAGCATTATTCATAATAGTTAAGTCATGGAATCAACCTAAGTGCCCACCAACTGAGGAATGGGTTGAATGTGGCGAAATGGTAAAAATGTGGTGCATATGCATGGACTACTACTCAGCCATAAATAAAGAAAAGAAAATCCTGTCATTTGACACAAAATGGGCAAACCTAGATGATACAAAGCAAAATGAAATAAGCCAGACCATGAGAAACAAATACATATGTCCCTGCTTAATATGTACCAAACATCCAACTCTCTGGCAGACTCAAAAGCACAGACATAAAGATAACAACAGTATCTGGATATTTTATGAAAGTCTTAACCAGTTCTGACAATTGCCCTCTGAGCAGCTTCATACCTTTGGACAAGTTGCTTAACTACTCTGATTCTGTTTCTCCATTTGTACAGCAGGAGCATTTCATACCTCCCAGTCCTGTGGGGAGAACTAAATGAGACATTCTATGTAATGAGCCTCGTAAATAGATAGGAAGAGCCCAGCACTTACAACAGGTGCTCAAAGATGCTTACTTAGTTCCTCTATTCCTCTCTGTTAACCTAAGTGGAGTTAAAAACAAACAAACAAAAAAGCTATAGTTAAGATCCTCGGGCCAGAGGAGGCAGAGGATTGGCACCATCATTATTCACAGACTGAGGGACTGAGAGTGAAAGGAGATCCTGTTAAAAAGTACGCCAGGCTTAAACAGGGCACGTCAGGGCAGACGAGGACGCACGGTCTTCCTATCTATCATGCAATTGGCTTCAGTCTTGCAGTATTATAAATAATCCTGCGAAAATCTTACCTGTATAAATCATTTTGACTTAGCCTCGGATTTCCTTAGGATAACTAAATTGAGTAATTGCCAGAGAGCATATAAAAATGGCAAGGCCTTCGATAGACAATTTAAATTGCTTTTTTGGAAAGTTTTATCAATGTTCACTCCTACTGGTTATTTTTGAGAGGGTTTGTTTCATGACAGCTTATCCAACATGGGATATTATTCTAAGAAATTTAAAACAGTGCTGATCTGGTAACATTTAAAAAAGAGTATTATCTATCTCATTTGGCTTTGATTTGCATTTATTTGGTCACCCATTAGGATAAGCATATTTCATGTTATTAGCCACGTCTTCTATGATTTGTCTAATATTTTAACCTATTTTTTTAATTGCCAGAGGGCACATGTGCATGCCATAGATAGATGAGGGGGGCGAGGGAGTGGGCGAGGGATGGTAGAAACACCCCACAATGCAGTGTAGTCACTCTCCACTCCTTTCTCTTTCATTTCTCCATCCTGTGAAGATTTGGGACAAGCTCACACACATGCCTAGCGTGTTTTTTGAGCCACCAGGATTCAAACTGTAGTTGGCCATATGGGATCTGTGCCCCTTTTACCATTAGGTTAGAGGCCAGTCCTTACCCTGTTTTCTATTGAGTCGCTGCTATTTTTATTTGTATGACTTGTTTATTATTTTTTTTCCATTGCCTTTATGCACAGAAAGTTGTTTCAAATTACAAAATTTGAAAGGAGATGATCTCTTTTTAGTTTTTAAATTTATTTTAAAGCTTTTCAAGTCTCACGAGAGTCTTAATCATGAAGGGATGTTGTATTCTATCAAAAGCTTTTTCTCCATCTATAGATATGGTCATTTTTTTCTTTCTATTAATATGGTATATCATATTTATTGTTTCATGTGTGTTGAACTATCCTTGCATCCCCAGAATAAAACCTACCTGGTCATGGTGTATAACTTTCTTGATATGTTGTTAGATCCAACATAATAATATTTCTAACAACATAACTGATCATTTTAAATTTAAAAATTTAGTAAATATTTTAACAAATATAACCTTATAGTAGATCATATATTTTCAAGGTTATAGGTCAAAAGACCTTGGAACTGTCTGTCATTCAAATATACACATGATTTTATTTTGCTGTAACAGAAAAATCTGCATTTCCTTTTTTCTTTTTGAAGAGATTTTTGCTATAGAGCGCGTGCACTTGCCAGAAAGACAGACAGAAAGCTAGAAATCACCCCCCGGGGGGATGGCCGCACTGCAATCCCTTCTTCTCCATTCTCCTCTCGAGCTCTTGGGCACGCACGCACACATGCCCGGCATGAGTTTAGTCCACCAGGTCCAGTACTGGAACCACGGTCAACTACATGGGAGTTCAGCGACATAGCCATTACGCCAACTGCTGGTCCCAAAAATCTGCATTTCTTAACAGCCTTCAACAAAAGCCCAATTTCATGATGAAAAAGATATAGAAAAATACCATCTCAAGTTGTATGCAAACAAATATGAATATTCACTAACCCTTTCTTTACCTGAAAATAAACTATAATGGCTTCACAGAACTTGGCACTCCAAATTCAACTGGAACGACATCAACAAAGCCCTATTCCTGCAGGTTTCCTGAGCAGCAGCCACTGAGAAGGGTGCACATTCCCTTCAGCTTCTCATTGCACTTCTCTGTCAAAGCGGAATTAAAGAGGGCCTGTCCTTCGTGTCCACCCCGCTCCCTGGCACACAGACCTGGCCTTCTTTTCAGATGGTTAGTCCAGAGAGAGTAATGTGCCAGGTGCTTAGTAAGGACCAGGCCTTCCTGAGGACGGACATTTGAGGCATCCTCTTCTTCTCAGCTTTTGAGGATCTGGGACTCTGAAACAATGTAGTAAATAAAAAATGTACACGGTCATTTCTTTTACTTAGTTATTTATTTTTAAGGGTTTTTGCTATAGGGCTTGTGCACTTTCAGGAGAGAAACGAAGAGGAGAAAATTGATAAGTCATCCCTGAGGGAGGATGGCCATGCTGCAGTCTCTTTCCCTTTCCTCCATTCTCCTTTTGGGATTTTGGGCATGCACACACACACTCCTGGTGTGACTTTCAAGTTTCTGGATCCAAGACTCAAACTGGGGTCTACCATGTGAGAGTCCAGTGCCTTAACCACTATGTCACCTGTGGGCCCAGTACAGGCATGTCTTGGGATCTTGTTACCACCAAGCCTCTCAGATTACTTTATTTGGGGACTTGCTATTTCCACTTTCTTTCTCCCTGCCTTGTACCATCCAAGAAAGCCTAGTCATTCCTCTGACAGGTGCTGCATTTAGTTGTATAAATAAAATACGGCATGGATGAATATTGTGGATAGGTGTAGGTACCTGAAGGCAAAACCAGAACTCTGGTGGAGTAAAAAATTAATAAGGCCTTCCATAGATGGTCATTTGCCTCAGATTTCTAGCTGTAACAGATCTATATAGAACTGGGGAAGCAGTATACCATGTATTGAATAAGAGTGAAGAGAGGATAAGAAAAAACTAGCCTTTTTTTTTTTTTTTAAAGAGGTTTTTGCTATAAGGTACATGTGCTCGCCAGAAAGACAGAGAGAGACAGACAGAAAGTGAGAAATCCCCCCCTGGGGGGATGGCCACACCGCAATCCCTTCTCCTCCATTCACCTCTTGGGATCTTGGGCATGCATACACACGCGCCCAGCGTGAATTTAAGCCACTGAGTCCAGGACTTGAACTGCAGTCAACTATAGGGGAGTCCAGTGACGTAGCCATTATGCCAACTGCTGGTTCCACTAGTCTGGTTCTTTTTTTTTTTTTTAATTTAAACATTTGAGAATTAAAAGTGTTATATCATGACAAGACTGATTCAATGCCACTAGTTTGATCTGGCTGTGATAACCCTATCAAGAAGCATCTCTAAGGCACCATTCACAAAGTGCTCCTCTGCAAGCTTAGCAGACACCCAGGGAGGAGTGGCCTGGGGGATAAGAATGGTGGTGATGGTACAGGGCATCTGGAAGGTTGAGCTCCCCCAAGTTAAACAGTTTGGACAGGTTGGAAAGAAGGAACCCAGCAGATCTACATACCAATTTCTCACTTATTCTGTCAAGTCAGAGTCCCCAAGAACTGGATATATAAAGTCATTTTCAAATTGCTATAATCTAGGTGATACAGAAATTAAGATCATGAAAGTAGAGTGTACTATACACCACATGAAGTAAAACTGTAAGGGAGGACTGGGGAACCTTGGAAGAGAAAGTGGTATTTGAACTGGACTCTATGAGAAAATTGGAACACGTCTTCAAGAAAGGAGCGACACTGTCTACACAGGGTATTTTGGGAACAAAGGCACAGAAGCTGGAAAGCATCGGGTCTCCGTGAAGCGTCAGGTATTGTGGTTCACCTTTCCTACTGTAATTAAGGAAGAGCAGTCAGAGCTCACTTTGTGTAAGGCCTTGAATGTCAAGAGAACATTCTTGAACTTCATTCTCCAGGGAACAAAGAACAAAATGCTGCCAAGAGAACTGACTGTTCATCCCACACATGTCTGACTCCTTAGATGTGCCTGGGCCTCTCTGGTGACTATTTCAATGGGCTGGCCACTGCAGGACGTCCCAGCTTCCCTGCCCAGCCTGTGTCCTGTGTCCTCTATGGAGGTTACTGTAATGTATTTGATTAACAGCCTTCTAAACTCAGCTTTTCAAGGAAAGATTTTAAAATATCACCTCTATCTTATACACATTAGAACATATTTTAAAACATATGAGAATATATCAAAACATCTGAAGATATATCTAGTATTTGCCCAACAGAGATATTTGATTTTGCAATGTGTGCCAAGTTATATGAAACGTTCTCTTACCATCTAAAGATAATGTTTCGTATTTCTTCAGATATGTTTTCATTTCTTCTGCTATCCGCCTTGGGCCTCACAATTTTCATTACATTTTCTGATTTTCAAGATATATACCGTGGAATGGAGGTAAGTGGCATTCATTTGCATATCTGTACATATGTACTATGGACAGTATTTACATTATAATTTGCAAAGCAGTTATTACCATATTTTCTCTGACTGCTAAATACTGTGAGGCTATTTATTTTTACTAGGAGAGCTAACACCTGTCTGACTCTCACACATGGTAGCCTCTAATTGTGTTAATATTTTTGGTATTATCAACTGGGTACATCTGTCCTGTTTGCACCTGATATACCATGTTTGGATAAGTTATTCTGCAACATTTTACAAATATAATAGAATTAATGTATTTATACAATTATTAGTTCTCCTACTTTAGTGTTTTAAAGTTTATTTTATTCATGAGAGAGAACACATACTTGTATGCATGAGAGAAAGAGACAGAGAGGCTTTCTACAGGGTCTCGTCATGCTGTCATCCCACTTCCCCCAGCCCCCAGCTCCTCAGGATCTTGGCATGGGCGCTCACCCATACTGGCTTATTTTCAGGTTGACCCAAGGATCCGAACCTGCAGTTGGCTATGTGGCTTCCAACCCTACAGTTCAGTTTGCCAACAGCTGGGCCAATTCTCCAAGTTTAAATTTTTTTAAGTAGAAACTTACATAATGCAGTTTGGAGGTGAGGGGCAGGAAGAGACTTATAAGATAGTTTGCTAGGTAGGAGGTAGGAATATTCCCAACCAAGAAGGCAAAAAGAGTTTCTTTTTTTTTTTTTTTTTTTTTTTTTTTTTTTTTGGAGAGGCTTTTGCTATAGGGCATGTGTGCTTGCCAGAAAGACAGAGAGAGACAGAGAGATAGAAAGTGAGAAATCACCCCCCCAGGGGGGGATGGCCATACTGCAATCCCTTCTCCTCCATTTTCCTCTCGGGATCTTGGGCACACGTGCCCGGTGCGAGTTTAAGCCATCAAGTCCAGGACTCGAACCATGGTTGACTACATGGGAGTCCAGCGACATAGCTAACTGCTGGTCCCAAGAGTTTCTTTAGTCTTGAAAATGCAGAAGAATGTAGGGTGGCAGAGATAACCAGAAGCAAGGTGAGCTTCCCAGAGCAGCTGGAAGACTGGCTGGAACCGGGGCAAGTGTGTGCCGTGGGTTATGAAGAGCGCGAATGAAGAAGGGACTGAGACATCCAGTAGTGTTTGGACTTCATTCCCAGAACAGCAGAGAGTCGTTGAAGACATTTGAGCATGGTTTTTAGCAGGGTATTTAAGACAGCTAGATGATGGCAAGAAGGCTGTACGTGAGAGCAGAGAGGCTATGGAGAGAGCAGCAGTTATGAGCTAAAAATATCAACCATCCATTCATTCACCCAGTGTTACAGAGCTCCAGAGTGTGCCTGACGCTGGCGTTACAGACAAATAAGGTGTGGTCACTGCTCTTGAGTTGTTCAGAAACTAGGGGAGAACATCACATGACTAATTTCAAATCAAGTGCTTTACAGGCAGAGGGAGAGAAGAGAGCTCTCTGATCGTGATGGGGGCAGCAGTGAAAGGGTCAGGTTCTTGCCAGGCTGCATTTCACATGCCTAATTAAAAGCAGACTCCACTGGAGGAAAAACGACAGAGAAATATTTGAAACAACCTATATAAGGATAGGGATGGAAATTAACGTGAGCACTCAGACACCTTTGGAGGGTCTGCAGTTTTAATTCTTAGGAACTCAGACTCACATAGTCATTCGTATTCTACTTCGGGAGAGCCAGGAAAGGGGCTATGTGACTACCTTGTGCTACGGATACAGCAATGGGAAGTTGTACTTCTCGCAACTGTGAAATAAGTGTATTTAGTGGTCAATGTATACCCTTCAATCTCTAAAAGTGGCGAGTCTGGAGGGTTCGATTTTCATCAAGCCATTAGATTTGAGGCTAAGAATATGGGAATATCATACCCAATCTCCATAAAAATGAACTTACCCTCCTCTGTTTTCCTTAAAGAATGAATTCCAAGTAGATCTTGCAACTTACATACAAGGACAATTAAAATTAGAAGTGATAATATCACGGGAGACTTAGAAGTAATATTATTAATGAGTGATTCAATGTCCTCTGAAAAGATAAAAGATGAAGAGAAGCACATAGGTTCTAAAGCAGCCAGCCTTCCATTTGCATCCGGGCCACATTTACTTGACAGTCATGGTCGGGTGGTGGAGAGAACACAGGCCAAGAGCAGTCAGTTCCCGTTCGTATCCTGGCTCTGCCATTTGTTTATTGGCTTTGAGTCCTCCCATTTCTCATCTGTAAGGTAGACAAAATAGCACCCTTCAAGCTCAGGGAGTTATTACAAATATGCAAACTAAATAAGATCATTCAAATGTGTTTTTTGTTTTTTCAAAGTGGGAGGTGTGCAAAATGTGATGGTGGTATATTTCTTTTTTCAACAGTTCATCCCAACCATAACATCATGGAGAGTTTCAATTTTGGTGGCAGCCCTCATCCAATTCTGTGTGGCCTTCTTTGTAGAGGTAATTTCGTATGGCTCTTATTGATTCTTCTGGGAGGATAAACAAGTAAAGGTGCTTATTCTCAACACTCATTTTTTTTTAGAACAATCATTGGTTTCCCAAAAGTATAATTATTAAAGGTTTGAAAAAACTATACACATTAGGGGGTCAGCAGGTGGCATGATGGTTGGAGGTGAAGGATTCCCACATAGTCAACCATGGTTCGAGTCCTGGACCTGGAAGCTTGCTTTTTCACTTTCCCTCTTTCTCTCACTCTCATTCTGTCCCTCAAATTGAAATAAGTAAATAAATAAAGTTAAATAAAATAATTATTTTTTAAAAAACTATACACATTATCTTTGGGAGAAATTCCCTGGGAGAATGAAGTTCGGTGAAGGTTGTGTATATATGGTCCTGGCATCTGCATGAAAAGCAAAACATCACATTAACCCCAATTTTGCTTCACAGAATGGCATTGTATTGTAGTTTTCTAATATTATCTAACAGAGACTAGACCATGTGTTTTTTGATATTTTTTTAAATCTAGAGTTTCTTGAGTTTTGTATATGTGTGTGTGTGTGTGTGTGTGTGTGTGTGTGTGTGTGTGTTTTATTTTGTTTTTGCTATAGGACGCATACACTTGCTAGAGAGAGACAGAAAGAGAACAAGTGAGAAATCAGCTCCCAAGGGGATAACCACTTCCACAACCCCTTCTCTTCCATCTCCTCTTGGGATCTTGGGCATATGCACACGTGCCCAGCATGTTTTTCAAGCCACCAGGTCCAGGATTAGAACCGTGCTGCTGGCCATGTGGAAGCCAGTCACCTTAACCTCCATGCCACTTGCTGGTCCAAACAGGTGTTTTTTTCAGCTCTAAAATTCAGTGATACTACATTGATGACCAGTGTAAATCCAAGCCCAGCAGCTTGAAAACACGCACATGTGTATACGTTTGCCCCAAGTGCTAAGAGGATAGAAATGGAAGAGAAGGATTTCAACATGATCACATACCAAAGAGAGGTGACTTCTCCAGCCCTCATCCAATTCTGTGTGGCCTTCTTTGTAGAGGTAATTTCGTATGGCTCTTATTGATTCTTCTGGGAGGATAAACAAGTAAAGGTGCTTATTCTCAACACTCATTTTTTTTTAGAACAATCATTGGTTTCCCAAAAGTATAATTATTAAAGGTTTGAAAAAACTATACATATTAGGGGGTCAGCAGGTGGCATGATGGTTGGAGGTGAAGGATTCCCACATAGTCAACCATGGTTCGAGTCCTGGACCTGGAAGCTTGCTTTTTCACTTTCCCTCTTTCTCTCACTCTCATTCTGTCCCTCAAATTGAAATAAGTAAATAAATAAAGTTAAATAAAATAATTATTTTTTAAAAAACTATACACATTATCTTTGGGAGAAATTCCCTGGGAGAATGAAGTTCGGTGAAGGTTGTGTATATATGGTCCTGGCATCTGCATGAAAAGCAAAACATCACATTAACCCCAATTTTGCTTCACAGAATGGCATTGTATTGTAGTTTTCTAATATTATCTAACAGAGACTAGACCATGTGTTTTTTGATATTTTTTTAAATCTAGAGTTTCTTGAGTTTTGCATATGTGTGTGTGTGTGTGTGTGTGTGTGTGTGTGTGTGTGTGTTTTATTTTGTTTTTGCTATAGGACGCATACACTTGCTAGAGAGAGACAGAAAGAGAACAAGTGAGAAATCAGCTCCCAAGGGGATAACCACTTCCACAACCCCTTCTCTTCCATCTCCTCTTGGGATCTTGGGCATATGCACACGTGCCCAGCATGTTTTTCAAGCCACCAGGTCCAGGATTAGAACCGTGCTGCTGGCCATGTGGAAGCCAGTCACCTTAACCTCCATGCCACTTGCTGGTCCAAACAGGTGTTTTTTTCAGCTCTAAAATTCAGTGATACTACATTGATGACCAGTGTAAATCCAAGCCCAGCAGCTTGAAAACACGCACATGTGTATACGTTTGCCCCAAGTGCTAAGAGGATAGAAATGGAAGAGAAGGATTTCAACATGATCACATACCAAAGAGAGGTGACTTCTCCCTCTCTCTTTGTCTCTCTGTCTCTGGCAAGCATATCCACCTTCTGGCAATTAAAAAAAATCTGATGCTGCTGCAAGAACACTGGGTATGTCAGATGGTCTAGTATAAACAAAAGCAGAATGCACTTTGACCCATTCTGTTATTATAAATGTATAAAAATTCTGTGTGCGTGTGAATAAGAAACTGGAAAATAAAAAACAAAAAAATGTGATTTTCTCGAGTTCATCCAACCATCTAACAAACCATTATTTGGCCCCTTCTACGCAGCAAGTGGCAAGTTGTTGGACTAATAAGGATTTTTTTTTTCCTTTCCTAGACTTTTGAGTACCTTATTATTATTATCGTTTTAGTCATAATTTCAGGTGAATCGCTAGCCAAGACTTAACTAGGAAACGCAAAGCAGTAAGCTTTTGGCAGGTTTCTATGAACACCCTTTTGTTTCGTAAAGGAAAGCATTCAGGGGCTCCAGGCAGGAAAGGGGGTGCAGGGCTGCAGCAGGGAGCCGGTCTCCGTGGAAGGCTTGGGGAAGAGGCATGGTGTGCGCGCAACGCGGCAGACGGAAATGGCTGGTGGTCTCACCGGTTTCCCACCTGATTTTCTAGGATGCCGTCCTTCAAAATCGAGAGCTCTGGCTGTTGATCAAGAAAGAATTTGGATTCTACTCTAAAAGTCAATATAGGAACTGGCAAAAAAAGCTGGCAGAAGATCCAACCTGGCCTCCCACAAACAGGATAGATTATTCGGGTGACAGTAAAAATGGAGCCTACATCAACGGAGGGTATGAAAGCCTCGAACAGATTCCAAAAGAGAAACTGGAAGTGGAAAGACAAACCACAGAACAGCATTTTTGGACCAGACTGTGATCAGAATTGTTACTAGACGTGCCCAACAGCATCCCCCTTTCCCCAAAGCTAAAACCTCGTGGGATGATGATGAGTCTCTGGCTTCTCTCTGGCCATCTGAACAACCAAAAGCAAGTTCCCCAGAATACTGAGTCTGCAGCCAAGGACCTTAAACATGCCTCGTTGACTGTATCCTTTACCACTAAGAGAAAAATCTCATTTCCTGGATGATCATTTTTAATAAACTTTATTCATGTACAGTGTTACGCTGCTTAAAATGCACAGTTTTCGTGGTGGTAAAATTTTAACATAAACATTAATAGGAGGAACATTGAGGAAAAGTTTGGTTTTTGAAAATTTCACCAATATATTAACTGTCACAGCTCGACTTAGATCTTTTATTTATTTTATTTATTTATTGAAGAGGTTTTTGCTATAGGGCGCGTGCGCTCACCAGACAGGCAGAGAGAGAGACAGAGAGATAGAAAGCTAGAAATCACCCCCCAAGAGGGGATGGCCACACCGCAATCCCTTCCCCTCCATTCTCCTCTTGGGATCTTGGGCACACACGCACACGCGTCCGGGATGAATTTAAGCCACCGGGTCTGGGACGCGAACCGTGGTCGACTACGTGGGAGTCCAGCAACATAGCCATTATGCTAACTGCTGGTCCCAATCTTCTATTTATTTTTGAAGAATGCTTGTGTACATGTTGTTTTCCAAGGTCACAGACTGTCCCTTTTCGTTTCTTTTAAATAGTTTAGTAGAGAAACAAGAATTCGTGTTTACTTCAGAAAACGCAATCCTAACTATAGCAAGCCATTGTTTTGTGGAGGTGGGCAATGATGGAGGTTTTTGTTAAGTGTCTGTGATCTTGCATGAGCACAACCAATATCTAAGCAAACTCCATCCAAGTTTGGCATCTTCCAAAGTATATTTTTTGGGGGGCCCGCCTTGCTAGAAGGTCCAGAATAGATCATAGACTAATTAAATAAACTGTTAAAATGTGTTTTCCCTTTAAAAAGCAGGATAATTTTATTTACTCTTTATCATGGATAGATGAAAACCACAAGTTTTAACTCTAAAAGCTGGCCTAAACTCGACCTGGCTCATTTTCAAAAAGAATCCTAGGGCCCCATGAAGATACATAACAATTAAGGGTAAATAATAAATTATTTTTAAAATTTAAAATTAAAACCAAAAGAAATCCTAGGGAAGGGACATATAATGTTTATATCTATGGTGTGACAAAATTCTCAGGTTACTGAACAACCTTACGTTCATCTTTCAGTTACCTGAATTGTTTCATTGAATGCACATTAAAGACCACAAAAAAAGTGTACATTTTTACAAAGATATTCTGTACACTATTCCCTTAATATACATATCCCTGTCATCATAAACTTGAGAGGAAATTTATTCATAGATGACAGTTAAAATTCTCTAGAGATGGGGCAGCAGGTGGCATGAAGGTTAAGGTGCTGGATCCCTCATAGCCAACTTTGCTGTTTGAGTTCTGGACCCAGCAGCTTAAAAATCACCCTGGTGCATGTGCATACCTACAATCCCCAGAGGAGAATGGAGTAGAAGGGATTGCAGCATGGCCAACCCCCCTTGGGTGTGATTTCCTGCTTTCTCTCTCTCTGTGTGTCTTTGTCTCGCTCCAGTGAGTGCACACACTGTATAGCAAAAAAGAAAAAAAAAAATGCCTAAAGCACTTTCTTTGCAATAAATTTAATTTTGCTAATTTAACATCTTTAACAGATCATAGAGCATTAATTAAGCAGTTCCATTCCATGAGTGCCAATTATGTGGTCTATATATGAATTTGATATAAGATAGCTTTGAGTTTACAATTCTGAAATCTTTACGATTGAGACATTTTCAACATTTTAGCAATCTGTGGGTGTAAATAGCACCGTAAATTTTGCTACACAAGCCAGCAGCACAAATACAAATTTATACAAAAATAAACACTTGGCGTGTACATTTTGTTTATTTTTTAAAGTTTTCTTCTATCCATGAGAATAATGATTTTCAAAATGTGTCTAATGTAGGGCCTACCAATAACAAGATAAAAAAATATAAAATAAAAGATTTTTTGCTTATGATTAAGAAATATATGTCAACCTAATAAATACGGCAGATCAGGGTCCTTGAGCTGACATCTATATTTAGTAATTAGACTTTTAGAATAAAAAGAGTCAGTTGATACACTATGACATTTAGATAGCATAGAAAGAAATCTTTAAAGTCTTGATTTAATAAATGTAGAGTTTTTCTTCCCTCTAGCTTTTCCAACAACTTATTAAATATCTAGTGGGTGATGATGTCTATTTCACTGTTTTTTGGATACATATAAAGTTGAACTCAATGCTATTAAATATATAGTCACAGAAAGGCTTAATAGTCTCAGAAAAACACGTTTGATGAAAGCACAGTGAGCATGACCTCATACCCAAAGATTACCTGTGGGAAACACCAAGCGTGCAGTTCTTCAGCTGCCCATTATCCAAAGTGATCACTTTTATAAGAAACTGACGATGAACTGTGTGAGCTTACCTCTGAGTGTGGAAGCTGCTACAGCCTCAGACACTACACGACTCCTAGAACGTGCTCTTCTCGAATGGAGAGGTCTGGAGTTCTGTAGGAAGGATTGACTGGAGGCTCTCAGAAGGTTCTTGGTCTTGAATTCCACCCCATTTCCCAGTGGCCAGTGTTGTGACTCTCTCATGACTGTCTCCTGCTTTGGGTTAAGTTCGCCCTCTGCGGGCATCCTTTACGGCAAGGGAACTCACCTTGGGAAAGGTGACACACTGAGCTGCTGTAGTTGTACTTTAATTTGACTGGAGTAAGACACCAAACCATCGCTTTTGTTTGTTTTTACTATTGCTTGGGAGATGTGGGAGCAGGGCATAAAAGGAACAGGGATCTAAATTTAAATAAAATAGAAGAGATCATTTTGGATGTTGGAACCGAGTAGGAGACATTTATACCTCCCCACCAGACGTAAAGGAAGAACAAGTTGGGGGTTAGCTGGAAACAGAGTTGGTGCCATAATAAAAGAGAAGGAATTGGTCAGGGAAAAAGAAGGGAAGAGTGAGAGGGTCTCTGCTATCCTTGACTGCAGTGCACACCCCTTCTATTATCTTTTTATTTTTTTTTTAAGGTTTTTGCAATAGGGCATGTGTGCTGGTTGGAGAGGAGAGAGAGACAGTGAGGGGGAGAGTATACTCACCAGAGAGAGATAACCCCCCAAGGGGGTGGCCATGCTGCAGTCCCTTCTCGTCTATTCTCTTCCTGGGATTTTGGGCATGCACGAACACACACCAAGCGTGATTTTCAAGCCACCAGGTCCAGTACTTGAACCATGGTAGGCTGTGTGGGAGTGTAGTGTCTTAACCACTATGCCACCTGCTGGCCCTTGTTATCATTATTCTTAACTCTGCAATTAGCTCATGGAATAGTTCTGGCCTTGAGGTAAAATCTGAATCAGTGTAATAGGCACAAGACTTCCACCGAGTCTCTATTCACTTTATCTATCAGAATCCTAATTCCCTCATTTCAACCCATCTTTTCTTTCCTATTTTCTTGAATTTTCCTTTCGTTTAATGTTGTGCTTCTGATGACAGCATAAGAAGGATGCACCTAGCTGGTCATGCAGCTGACAGGGCAATGCCACAGTATCTTACGTGAATCTTGGCTGAAGAGACCTGAACCCCACCTTTCCCCATCTGCTGCCACCAAGAATCCACTGACGTGGAATTAAGAAGTAGTTTAAGTCAACACGTAATCAACAAAACACAAGAATGAAATCATGATACTTCTTACTTTATAGAAAGTCTTCAAAATAACATGGGGCATCGCTTTCTAAATATGGTACTTTAAACCAGCGTTTGTTTAATGATCTCTTGCCAAGGCTAAAAGGTCAGACCCCTGAAATCCTTCGACCTCCAAAGGGAATGGTGTAACTCTGTAGGAATAACCCATTCTTGCTTGTCACGTACTCCTGACAAGCAAGTATATTCCCGAGAATTCACTGGATCCAAAATCCTGGAGCACAGAACCCCTCCCCTTCCCTCCCATCCATGTCTACACAGGTACAGGAAGATGGGAGTGCACCTCAAATACCATGTGACTCAGAGTTCCTCAAACTGCTTTAACAAAGGCTGAATTTCTAGATTTCTTTGTGACAAGAAAAGAATTCCGAATTCAGATGTCAACTCTAACAATTCAGGGCTCTTAACATTTCTTTCAAAACCATATATAAATGGTTTTTATCCCTCTGACAAAGCAGCCACCCTCAGGGAAAAGGAAAACAATATTTATAGAAGCTAAAATGTGATGTGATTTTGTTAAGATCTTCTGCTAGCTCACTTAAAAGGCTACTGCTTTTTGTTCAAGCTGCCATAGCAAATCTGCGCTAGGGTGGAAAGAAAATTTCCTTGGCTCAATGGTAAGATAATATCAGTAAGCAATTTATTAAAGAGACCGCATCCCTCTTTGGAATTTAAACAATCATAATGCATTGAAAGTAAGTATTCACCCAGGTTTTTTTTTTTTTTCTCCTCATAAATTCCTTCAGTCTCAACATCTCTTCAGTAAATTGTTAGTAGTATTTTGCTCTCTGTCTTTTTGGAAACAAGCCCAGGAATGAGAAGGCAGCAGCAGCAGCTGTCACAAACCCAATGGCACTTATTGCTCGGTTGGCCTAGAAAGAAACAAACAAAGCCACATCTTATTCTAAAGACATCTCAGTGTCCTAAATGAAGCTTTAGCTTGTTTTTTCAAAGGAAGATCTGTTCTAATACACAATGAATACATTCAGAGTTCAATTCATAAGTAAGGTTCTGGATGTTGATGAAAAAATTAATTTATAATTTTTATAATTATGTCAAAGACATAAATAAACACACATATAATTAATATAAATGGGGTGTGTGTGTGTGTGTATATATATATATATATATATATATATATATGGTTTACCTCCATTTTTAAAGCACCTGAAAATTGTTAATAAGTATATTATGAACACAGTTTCCATTAGTCATCCTAGTACATTGGTGAGGTAGGTAGCACCACTCCTGTTTGGCAAAATTTTGGCAGTTATAAGTGATTTGTCCAAGGTCACACCACCAAGATATTTAAAGATAAGCTGAGTCTTCTGAAACCCATGTTCTTCCTTATAAAGGACCTACCCCTTGAAATGTACATTTGCTTTGGTGGGGTCTCTACCAGCTCTGTGTGTGTGTGTGTGTGTGTGTGTGTGTGTGTGTGTGTGTCTGACCAAAGAATGTCCATTATCAAAGTAATTCAGAGATGTGACACAAGCTAAATACCTATAAGCTCTTATTTGGTAAACACAACTATTTAGTAAACTCCAAGAAAAGTCAATATTGACATTAACTATCATGTCAAATATTAATTTCTCATATAGACAAAACAAACCTCTCTCAAGCTCAATTGTCCATAAAGGAGTTCAGACATTTATAGCTCTAAGGGTATTATCGTGATGAGGGATCTAATGAATATTCATGGTTTTCATGGCACTCAGCTAATACTGCCTTCCATCTTCATGGGTTTGGCAATCTTATGGGTCAAAGGTCAGTTACAGGTATTTTGAAAACATTTGTTCTCTGGGATTTAAGAATCAGAGTTCTCAAATAAAGCAAAACATTTTCCCTAAACTACTCTGGGAAACAGTTCAAGGCCTGGAAAGCCTGGCAACTCACGTTTGAGCATGCCCCCTGTCTAGCCCTCAGACCTTCCCCACTGGGCCTGCCAACCTCATATTTCAGCAACGCAACCAACTGCAGCTTCCCTGTTGGGAACAGGCAGCTAGGACCAGGGCCTGAGAAGAGGCACACGATAGAAATGTTTGCTCCATGTATTTGCAGCATGTATTTACTGTCATACCATCTGGTGGTCCCAAAGGACAAGAGCTGTAATCGCGACTTTCCGCCTCTGCCTCGACCCCCAGCAGCTAGGGAGAATGGCATTACTAAACAACTGGCCTTAGTCCTGACAGGTCCTAGTTCTGAAAAATCGTCCTATTTTAGTTTATATTTTTCACTTTGTTTAATTGGCTACTTATTTATTTAATATCCTAAATTGATCACTAAATTATTTCTCAGGAGAGAATCAGAATTAACTGCACACAGAAATACCCACATAGCACATGAGGGGGAAAAAAAGGCAGGGGGGTGCGGTATACAGGAAGAAAAACCAAAAGTGGGGAAGAGTCCATGACTAAACAGGGGTCGAGGATGAAAACTCAAGCCCAGCCCTAGCACAGTTCCAAGCTGAGGCTGATACAGTGAAATGGAGCACGCAATGACAAAATGTGGATGTGTAACCTGTGTTTTCACACAGAGATGTTGAGTGACAACCCCAGGAAAATGGCAGGGTCCTGTGAATAAGGTGGCCTCAGCTAGGTCCTAGCCTAACTGCCTAGGTTTATTTCAGATACTATAAACGCAAGATGTTAGAGAAATTTCATTATTCTGAGAGGCCTGGGGTGGGCAGGGAACAGGGTACCAGCAACCTAATTGTAAACCCAAATCCCCTCAAGTCTCACAGGCCAGATACCATTATGATAAAACCATTTCCAGAAGTACAGGCAGTTCCCAAATCCAAAGTGCTCCTTTATTTCAAGTCTTACTCTAGATAACAAAATCCCATCTGCCTGGGGGAATCCCTTGGAGTTCCATTAATAGTGCCCGACCTGCAAGATAATAACATTTCGAGGTGTTCTTCGTGAACCAGCATGCGCAGATGCTTTTACTGCACAGCTTTCTCGGGATTATAAGATCACCAAATCCGATTCTGCCGACTTCATCCTTCACAGGGCTCTTTGTCTGTGGGCCATGGTACAGGCCTCGCTCAGAGGATCTGTACATGCTCAATGAAACATTAGCTGAATCTAGAGTGGCCCTGTTCAGACATCAGTGTTGCAGGATCACAAATAAATGCAGGGTTTATCAAACTGTCTCCTTCCTGAGGCTCTCAGACTGCAGTGGTATGCATTAAAGTATATTCAGGATGTATTCATGAGTTGGCTTATGCAGGTCTACTCAAGGGATTCAGACAACATGGACAAAGATAGACACATTTTAATAACTAGTTTGAATTTTAACAGTTAAAAAAAAGAAGTTGTTTTTAGAAATTTTAGAAAACACAGAAGAGATAAATCTCAGACTGGGAGAAAACATTTACGGAAGACAAATCTGATAAAGGACTGTCATCTAAGATAGATAAATCTTAAAACTAAACAACAGGAAAATAAACAGCCCAATTTTAAAATAAACAAAAGTCATCAAGAGACACATCACGAAAGATATGCAGATGGAAAATAAGTACATGAAAAGATGCTCAACATCACATGTAATTAGATAATTGCAAATTAAAACAAAAATGAAATGCCACCACATGCCTATTAGAATGACTGAAATTCAAAACACTGACAACATCAGATGCTGATAAGGATGTAGAGCAACAGGAACTGTCATTCATTGGTGGTGGGAATGCAAGACAGTACAACTACTTTGGAAGACAGTTTGGCAGCTTTGCATACAACTAAACATATTCTAACCATATGATCCAGTAATAACATTCCTTGGAATTTACCCCAAGGATATGTACACTTATGTCCACACAAAAATCATGTATATGACTGTTTACAGCAGGTTTATCCATAAAGGCCCAAACTTGAAAGCAACCAAAATGTTCTTTGGTAGCGAATGGATAGACTGTGGTAGATCAATGGAATGGAATATTCAGTGCTAAAAAGAAATTCACTATCAAGCCACAGTAGTATATAGGGAAATCTAAAATCTGTATTAGTAAGTGATAAAAACTTATTCTAAAAGGCCACATTTTCCATGGTTCTAATGATATGTCATCCTAAAAAAGGTCAACCTATGAAGACAGTAAAAAAAGAAATCAATGGTTGTCAGAGGCCTGGGGGGAGGCAAGGATGAGTAGGCGGAGCACAGATAACTTTCAGGACAGGAAAACTATGCTGTATAATAATGTAATGATGGATACATGTCATTATACATTTTTCCAAACACATAGACCATACAACACAAAAATGAACTTTAATATGAACTAGGACTTTAATGTTGGTCCATCAACTCTGACAAATGTACCACACCAATGTGAGATATTAATGGTGGAAGAGAAAGAACTCTGTACTTTCAGCTTACTTTTGCTATAAACCTAAAAGCTGCTGTAAAACACACTTACCCTATTTTTTTTTTTAATACAGAAAAGCACAAAGGAGATAAAGAAAGATGATGCCATAATCCTTCTATGCTTCTAATCTTTTGTACGCATTTGTATTTTTTTTATTGCCAGAGGCAATGCACTCAACAAAGAGAGAGGGAAAGCACCCCCATAATGGGGCATGGCACTGCTGCAATCTTTTTTCCTCCATTTCTCCATCCAGTCAGGATTTTGAACACATATGTAAACACACCTGGCATATTTTTCAAGCCACCAGAGTCAGGATTTGAACAATGGTCAATCAGAATTAACTGCACACAGAAACACCCACATAGCACATGAGGGGAAAGAGAGGCAGGGGGGTGCGGTATACAGGAAGAAAAACCAAAGGTGGGGAAGAGTCCATGACTAAACAGGGGTTGAGGATGAGAACTCAAGCCCAACCCTAGTACAGTTCCAAGCTGAGGCTGTTACAGTGAAATGGAGCACGCAATGACAAAATGTGGATGTGTAACCTGTGTTTTCACACAGAGATGTTGAGTGACAACCCCAGGAAAATGGCAGGGTCCTGTGAATAAGGTGGCCTCAGCTAGGTCCTAGCCTAATTGCCTAGGTTTACTTCAGGCACTATAAACGCAAGATGTTAAAGAAATTTCATTATTCTGAGAGGCCCAGGGAGGTACCTAGGCACAGTGCTTACCCACTGCACTATGAGGTTGACCCTGCATTTATAATTTTTTTAAGTGGAAAAACACATAGCCATTCTTCAAGAAAACCTAAGTTCAAAGTTCCTAAGTTTTAAGAGACTAAAAAAAATCTAGTACTATCTTTTATTATTAATAATACATTAATTATAAGCAATAATAAATGATCCAAGCGCTATACATTTTTAGATCAAGATTCTATTGTAGGGACCAGCAAGTGGCATGGTGATTAAGGCTCTGGATTTACATGTGGCCAACTATGGTTTGAGTCTCGGACCTGGAGGCTTGCTCTCTTACTTTCCCTCTCTATCTCTCTGTCTCTGGTGAGCACATGTGCCCTATAGCAAAATACAAAAATAATAATGACAAAGAAAATTAAATAATACTTCTAAAAATAAAGAAATAAAGGATTTTATTGGATGTGCCAACAAAGGTCTAAAAATTTCTAAAATGTGTAATTAAACATAATATCCATCACAGGCATGCTATGATAGATAATTTGTACTACAGTGCACCAAGAGACCAAATATCTCCTGTGATGTTTGAAACAACTTCAGTGTATAGATGAGAAAACAGATAAACTGTGCCTAAGTTCACTCAGCTAATAAGTGGTGAAGAGGGGGCTCAGGTCAGCAGAATGCCGATGCTTAGGTGGGTTTTTATTCAGTCACTGCACCATCTTCATTGGAATCTGCCGGGAACAAGTTATACTAGAGGTTGAAGAACAATCCGTTTTTCATGGGACTTGAATCTGGGCATTCAAGGTGAAAAGATGACG